TGAGTGACATCGTTCTCCTTGTACAAATTCATCTCAGAGACTTTATCCACCCGCAGCCCCAAGAAATTGGCAACATCCCAGATGATGTTTTCAGCTACCAGCATCCCCTGGGGTCCCCCAAAGGCCCGGAAAGCTGTGTTCGAGGNGATGTTTTCAGCTACCAGCATCCCCTGGGGTCCCCCAAAGGCCCGGAAAGCTGTGTTCGAGGGGAGATTGGTCCTGCAGACCCATCCTGTGGCATCAATCGCTGGGAACTTGTAGGCATTCTCGCAGTGGTGGATCGCCCTCTGCATCACCTCGGGCGAATAATCCCTGGAGTGTCCAGCGTTCATGAAAAACTCGACCTTCAGCCCTTTCACGAGGCCCCCCTTGGTGAAGCCGACCTTGTATTTACACAGGAAGGGATTCCTTCCCCCGGTGATCATCATGTCCTCGTCTCGATCGAGCATGCAACGAACGGGCCTCTGGAGTTCGTGGGCTGCAAGAGCCGCTGGTATCGCAATCAATTTCCCCTTGGTCTCCTTGCCCCCAAAGCCACCTCCCATACGTTTCACTCGGATATTCACTCGGTTCAACGGGACTCCGAGGACCTGGGCAGTCAATCTCTGGAGTTGACTTGGGTCTTGCGTGCTGCAGGTGATTTCGAGATCGTCGATCTCCTTGGGGACAGCCAGAACCGACTGAGTCTCGAGGTAAAAGTGCTCCTGGCCGCCTATTCTGAACTCCCCGTCGAGAATGTGATCGGATTCCGCAAGGGCTTGATTTATATCTCCATTCTGGATCCTCATGGGGGACGGGGCGATGAAGGATTTCGACGCTATGGCATCCTCAATGCTTATGATCACAGGCGTTAGGTCTTCGTAGTGAACCTCCACTAGTCGCGACGCTTTTTGGGCTGTCACTTGGTTTACAGCGATTATTGCACCAATCGGTTGACCCTGACTCGTTACTTTCGTGGCGAAGACCTGAAGAGCAATGGAAATAGATTATTGCACGTTGAAATGATTACCCTCGGTTGCTTCTAGCTGAGGTCATCTCACATACCCCATCAAAAAATATATTCCAAAAATATATAATATGGGCCAATTCCATATATTTCTCAAATTTATAAGGAATGTATAAAAAATTAATCAATTAATTAATTTTTTTATATATTCTTCATAATTAATTAATTTTAATTTTTTTTTTTCAATGCCGGTTTTTTTTCCGCTCGCCCGGGTCTCGAATCCCGGCTGGACGGTGCGGAATTTTTTTTCTCTCTGAATTTTCATTGTCTTAGAATTTTTCGATTTTTTTTTAATTAATTAATTTTCCAAATTTATGAAGAATATATAAATTGGGCCAATTTATGATATTTTTAAATATATTATTCAAAATATAAATTTTTCCATGCGGGTACCTCTTCGTCCTTCACAATGGGTCCAACCCATTTTCTGTCTTCCGGAATATTTTCAGCGCAGAAGAATCTAATGACGCCCTCGAGTGCCAGAGCTTTGGAGGCGTCAACGCGGACGATTTTTGCGTGGGGCCTTGTGGACAGAACTAGAGCCAAGTATAGCTCTCCGTCGATCCTCGGAATGTCGTCGCAGTACAATGCTTCTCCAGTGGTTTGCNATGAGTGACATCGTTCTCCTTGTACAAATTCATCTCAGAGACTTTATCCAGCCGCAGCCCCAAGAAATTGGCAACATCCCAGATGATGTTTTCAGCTACCAGCATCCCCTGAGGTCCCCCTGACGCCCGGAAAGCTGTGTTAGAGAGGAGATTGGTCCTGCAGACCCATCCTGTGGCATCAATCGCTGGGAATTTGTAGGCATTCTCGCAGTGGTGGATCGCCCTCTGCATCACCTCGGGCGAATAATCCCTGGAGTATCCAGCGTTGATGTAAAGCTCGACCTTCAGCCCTTTCACGAGGCCCCCCTTGGTGAAGCCGACCTTGTATCTACACAGGAAGGGATGCCTTCCCCCGGTGATCATCATGTCCTCGTCTCGATCGAGCATGCAACGAACGGGCCTCCGGAGTTCATGGGCTGCAAGAGCCGCTGGTATCGCAATCAATTTCCCCTTGGTCTCCTTGCCCCCAAAGCCACCTCCCATACGTTTCACTCGGATATTCACTCGGTTCAACGGGACTCCGAGGACCTGGGCAGTCAATCTCTGGAGTTGACTTGGGTCTTGCGTGCTGCAGGTGATTTCGAGATCGTCGATCTCCTTGGGGACAGCCAGAACCGACTGAGTCTCGAGGTAAAAGTGCTCCTGGCCGCCTATTCTGAACTCCCCGTCGAGAATGTGATCGGATTCCGCAAGGGCTTGATTTATATCTCCATTCTGGATCCTCATGGGGGACGGGGCGATGAAGGATTTCGACGCTATGGCATCCTCAATGCTTATGATCACAGGCGTTAGGTCTTCGTAGTGAACCTCCACTAGTCGCGACGCTTTTTGGGCTGTCACTTGGTTTACAGCGATTATTGCACCAATCGGTTGACCCTGACTCGTTACTTTCGTGGCGAAGACCTGAAGAGCAATGGAAATAGATTATTGCACGTTGAAATGATTACCCTCGGTTGCTTCTAGCTGAGGTCATCTCACATACCCCATCAAAAAATATATTCCAAAAATATATAATATGGGCCAATTCCATATATTTCTCAAATTTATAAGGAATGTATAAAAAATTAATCAATTAATTAATTTTTTTATATATT